GTAGACTATCCGTATGTATATATACACATGTTTTGTATATGTATACATAGTTATACATATATAGTTGTATATATACATACATATATATACTTATATATATATATATATGTATGTGTGTGTATGTGCATGTGTGTATACTCCTTAAACAGCTGTATCACATACATACAACATGTTATATAGAGACCATAGCACACACAAAATATTAACATATCACCGACATATTAACATAGCATCAAAATATTAACATAACATCAAAATATTGACATCACATCTGGTTCATATTTTTCATTGACCTTGGACCTCTGGGTGAAGACGATGCCGAGGGCGGAGAGTGCAGGGCCGCCAAGGGCCCCGCCTCCACAACCGGGGGGGGGCGCCGCTGCCAGAGAGGAGCCCGAAGAGAGATCGCGAAGGAGACGGAAGAGGAGAAGATATGAAGTCCCGAGTGGCAGTAGTCAGTGCAGTCAGGGAGACGCGCGAAGAGCCGACGGTGGAGAACGAGGAGGTCTGCGCGTTGGAGGGCGACTTCGCGGAGGCCGGGTAGGGGGATTTCGAGTGGATTGCAGGTGAAGGGAAGGAGATCGCGACGGCGACGACGCCTGGGGCCCCGACTGGCACGCGGGTCGACGCTTGCCGGGCGGGCGGCGCGAAGAAGAGAAGGCGGCCCGCGAGGGGCTTCGAACGGCGAGCCTAACGGCGCGAGAACTCTGCGGCGGCGACGCCGTCGCCAGCCCGCCTGAAGGCGACGCTTGTCAACGCGGAGATCCACGACCGCGTCGCGGCGTCCAGCGACTGCAGCGGGGCGTTCTACCAGGCGTCGCCGACGGAGGATCGCATCTTCCTGGAGCCGCCGCCTGAAGCTGAAGTACAGGAAGGACATGTCTGGGAAGCCTTGCGCGGCCCCCTGGGGCTGAAGGGCGCGCCGAGGGCCCGGGGAGGCCGCGGCGCGGGGTCCTGGGGGAGATGGGCCTGGAGAGGGGGCGCTATGACGGGCTTCTCTTCGCGAGGGCGAGGGGCGGGGCCGAGGCGGGCAGGCGGGCCGGCGACTTCCTGCGGTGAAGCTGCGCAAGGGCGGCCACGGGGCGACGTTCTTGGGCGCGCAGGTGAAGAGGATCAAGGGCGGCTACCTCGTCGGCGGGGAGACCTCGCGGATAGGCGTCATCGCGAAGGAGCTCGGGCCGGAGAATGCGAACCCCTCAGTGTTGCCAGAGACCAAGGCGGACGCGAAGATGACGGATGACGACGTGAAATTGGGCGCGAGAGGCCATGGTCGGCGCCGCGCCTGCGTGGGCAAGCTCATCCAGCTGGCCAGCCACAGAACCGACCTCCAGCGTGGGGTTGGCGCGCTCAGTCGAGGCGCGGCGGGGCCAGCGGGGGCGGACCTGCGACGCCTGAAGAAGATTGCGCGGTGCCTGGAAGGCGCGAGGGACCTCGAGAAGAAGGTGATTTCCGACAGCAGCGAGGTCCCCGTGCAGTGCATGGTCGATGCGGACTGGGCTGGCGACAGGACGGACAGAGTATCTACGACTGGTGGAGTGCTGAAGTACTGCGGGTGTGCGGTGCTGTCCTGGTCGAGGCGCCGAAGATGTGCGGCGTTCGCTTCGGCGGAGAGTGAGCTGTGCCCGCGCTGGGTTCAGGAACTGCTGAGGCGCTGGGCTCGGCATTGGCGCTCGCGGAGTTGGGCGAGCCGAAGGCGCCGCAGATGAGAAGCGGCAGCAGCAGCGCGCTGCGCATAGTCAAGAAACGGGGACTTGGCCGGATGCGGCACCTGGTGATCAGGTTCCCGACGCTGCAGCAATGGAGAGAACAGCGCCGTCTCACCTTCAACAAGGTCAAGACGGACGACAACGAGGGCGACGTGCTCGCGAAGCCCATGTCCAAGGAGAAGCTCGCGAAATTCAGTGAGATGGTAGGCTTGGCGGGGCCTCGCACGCCGCCTCCTGGAGCGGTCGGAACGGAGAACAGCAGCGGGGGCTTGAGCCAACAAGCGAGCGGTTAAAGCAGCAGTTTCGAGTAGTAGGATGAGATGCAGAACTCAGTCTCTAGGGTGTGCGGGGGCGCGGGGCCCCACCGAACCCGTTTTTGATGTATCGGATTGTCGTGCGTTTCCCTCTCGAGGCTTTGGTCCTGAGAGGACCTAGCAGCCTCGAGGGCGTGTTGAAGGACATAGAGGAGCGAGAGGGAGAGATATGCATATCGTATCCATCGCCACTTTGGCACAACAGTTGTCAGTGTGTATGTGTACATGTGTGTGTGTATGTTTGAATGTGTGTGTGTGTGTATGTGCGCAGCTGTGTATGTGTGTATGTGTGTTTGGACATATGTTTGTTTGTTTGTTGGCTTGTATGTATATATATATATATATATATATGTATAGACATACGCCTATTGTCGGAGTCTTGGGCCACCCGCGACAGACAATGACAAATGGCGCCCCCCTTGGGTGCCGAATGTAGCCCTAGGAGCCCGGGTCGTTTTCGGCCCTGTGGGGGGCTCTCTCACCCCCGAGAGCTCTCCAAGGACCCCCGCGATGGCTTCCAGACGGCGCAAGAGGCCTCCACGACGACCCGAGGGCGCCCCAACAGCGCTCCAAGATCGCCCATGATGGCTTCAAGACGTTGCAGAGGCACCCCAGAAGGTCCAAGAGTGCCCCAAGAGGACCCTCAATTGGCACATTGGCTTATGCGTCTCAGCAGCGCCCAGTGCGGGTTAGGGGGGTCCAAAAAACGCCCCATGACAGCCCACGAGGCCCCCAAAGAGGCCCCAAGACGGTCCAAAAAAGACCCAAAACGGCCCAAGAGGCGCCCCAGATGGCCAACAAGGCCCCAAGGTGGCCCCAAGAGAGACCCCGGGCGGAGTTCGAATTCAAATTTGAACCCCCCCGCCCCAAGAGGACCCCGGAGACCGCCAGCAGGCCCCCTTGAATCTTCCCAGAGGCCCCCTGAGGCCCCCAAGAAGCCCAAGAGCAGCCCCCAGTCGGCCTCCAACAGGCCCCGGTGCAAAACGCTCCCGAGAGGCCTCCCCGAAGACTCCAACAAGCTTCTGAGAGGCTGCGCGTCCACGTCCTGCACGACGTTCCCAGCGAGGTTACCGGAAATGTTGTACCGGCGTCACCCCAGCATACTTATACAATGTGTGCGTCGCCCCCCCATGGGCGACGCGCGCACCGTGAAATCTTATACAGTATATGCGTCGTGGCGGGCGTTTTCTGGCCACACCGCTCGGGAAACGATGTACTACAAAATGGGTATACTTTAAGTTCGGGTCGGACGCGACCCTCCAAGGAGGACATATAGTATTAGGACATCTAGTTTTAGTATGTCTCTGTGCGTCCCATTGCACTGGACCTCGGGGCCGCCCTCGAGACACCAAGACGCATTACAGAGGTCGCCCAAAAGGCCGTTAGTTTCCTGAGGCTTCCCAAGAATCCCCGAGAAGCCTCTCAGAGGCCACGCGTCTGCACCCTAAACGATGTTCCCAAAGCGGTTTCCGGGGACGCCGCGTTCGAGCTGGAGGCCTCCCTCGAGATCCCGATGAGCGCCGCAGGGGCCCCAGGCACACGTCCTACACGATTTTCCCGGGGAGGCCCCCGGGAATATCGATTCGGACTCGGACCAATCACAACTCTCCCTGGGATGAGACACCTGGCGTCGGACACCCTATTCGCCGTCGACATTTTCCAGTCCCGCGTGCTTTGCCTGCTGCGATTCGCCGTCGCTGGCGGTTGGTGCCTTCGGATTCGTGCCCTCTGGGGGGCGCTCAAGGTTGACAGCGTGGTGTCCCGAGGCGCCCCCCCAGCCGCGAGACGCGATCAAGGGGGAGTGTCCAGAGGGCGCTCAAGGTTGAAGCCGCGGTGTCCCGAGGCGCCCCTGCGGCCGCGAGACGCGGTCAAGGTGAGGTGCTCGGGGGGCGCTCAAGGTTGACGGCGTGGTGTCTTGGACGCCCATTTGGCCGCTTGCGGGGCTGTCAATGTTGAAGCCTTGGTGTCCTGGACGCCCCCCAGGCGGCGGGCTTTCGCGCGGGAGCGGGGCTGGCAATTATGGTTCTTGGACCGTGCGCGTTGGTAGCAGCCCATGTCCACGGCTTCGAAGTGTGGCTCTCCCCCTCGCCTCGACCACGCTCCCAGCTCGAGGGGGAAAACGGGACGAAGTGCTCCCGCTTCGGCGCGAGACATATTCTTGGCCCGCACTGGCGCTGCTGTTTTCGTGTCGGCTCCCGCGCCCGCCTAGCTGTTGGCCGTGCTCCAGCCCAGATAGAGCTTCCGCTTCAGCGCCATGCGCGTTGCCAGTCTGGACCGGTGCTCCTGCCCAAACGCTGGTCTCACTACCACTCCAGAAGGCTCGCTTGGCCCTTCTCGAGACGGTCTAGGGTTTCTCTTCGGGTCAGTTGCGGCCCTGTTGGGGGTCCTCTCAGACCTTAGTTGGGCGCCTTTGGGCGATTTCACTTTCTGAAGCCCAGACAGAGCGAAGGCGACAACGCCACTACTGTTGGAAATCATACATCACACTCCGCGTGTGCGCATAAGAGTGAGGGGAGAAGGATGGAGTACCCTAAAAGATGACCCCCAATTGCATCCCCCACGTGTAGACCCCAATGATTGGCGCCCACCTGTGGTCCCGAAGTTTGCTCCCGAAGAGGGTACGTTTGGGTTCGCATGCCCCTTTGCTGAAAACACGCATGTGTGCACACGCATGTCTGATTTCTAACCTTCTCATTTCATCCAATGTGTCATGGATTCCGCACTTGGAGTCCGAGGCTCACTAGAACCTAATCGCGCGAAGCGCGCACGTAGCTGTGTTTGAACCATATCAGGTTCCCATCGCTCACTTCAGGCACCGGCCCTTGTAGGAATGATCAGCTTTCTGACACACAGGGTCACGAACGAGTGAATCGTCATGAATGGGTTGGCAGGCGGATTTGGTTCCGCATTTCTGCAGTAGCCACACCTTGACCTCAAGCCCTTCTTTCCACTCGCCACGCCTGGCCTCCGTTTTCCCGAG